TTGGCTGATCATCTTCTTTGGTCTCCTTTTCTTCATCGATAGCATCATATTCTTCTTTGTCACTATTTACGATGCTAGTTTTTATTACTTCTTTGTTTTCGTTGTTGGTTAAGGCGCCGGGTTGGAAGTGAGGTTGTCATTTTTTATTGTATATTTATTTTTGGTTTATTGATGGCAATTAGGACTGCTTCTGCAATTTTAAGACGCGTGTAGTTGGTGTTCTGGTATATTACTTTGGTGTTGCTGTCGGCTAATTGTGATTGTGTTGAGTCCAAATGAGATTTGATAGCACCACTCTGTTTATGCATCGTAAGCCTTCTAGTCAGTGAGTAGTAGTAATCCCGATATATGAGTCATGTTGACGTGCACAGCCGTCAAAGGGGCAATTAAATTCATATATTACGTGATTACGCTTTAAATCAGAGTTGTCTCTAGGACTGCAGTTGTTTTTCAGTAACCCATAGCAGCACCATCGATTTGCTTGTAAAGTTTGCCTGTGGGGCTGTGGAATGGTTCTTCAGTAGTGCAAATTTGAAGAAGGGACTTCAGTTGTGCTTTCGGTATGTTCAATGGAACCATATCTCAATTCATGATACAATTGACATAATTATCAACACCTTTTACCACTCAGATATAGTTCCCCCCTTGGCGTCCTATTTGCCAGTTTTTACTTAGGACAGCTGGTGAATGAAACATTCAAAAACAATGCAAATTTAAAACCAAATATCTACGCCAGATACGTGGATGATATCTTTGTCTCCTATAACGATCCTGGACAAATCACCCAACTTCTTGGTACCTTAAACAAATCAAAACTTAGATTTACCATTGAAAGTGAAAAGGAACAACGTTTACCTTTCCTCGATGCTTTTCGTGTTATATTTTGTAAAAGTGTTATATTTATAGATAAAGAAAACACAAAAAAGTGTTATATTTAACGATTTTGTAAATTGTTAAACTAAGTAGTCACTTTAAACAAACAAGGAATCAAAAAAAGTAGTGTAGAGACACTGTATATACATATATTTGAGCATATGGGCACAAACAACATATCAATTTAAACACCGAAGATGGTATAGGATTACTGAAAAAAAATTTCTGTTCTATTATGCGTAAAATAAACAAAAATTTTTGTTTTGAACTAAAGAAACTTGAAAATGATATACGATCAACAGTTAGAAAAAACGGAAAGTAAATTTGGGAGTTAACAAACGCCGGACATGCTGTAATAATATATATATATATATATATATATATATATATATATATATATAATGATATATCTGTGTATAATAATAATAAGAGACAGAAAATATATGCTTGAATTTGGCAAATAGCGAATTCAAATATAATATATCCGGAGGAGATAAGTATTAATATGGCAAAATTAAATGTGGATGATGATATATATATATATATATATATATATATATATATGAATTTTTCAATTTGTCTTAGTAAATTTTTATCAAAGAAATTGATTGTTTATTTATATGTAAAACCCAGGCCTTTATACAAATTCCCTATATAAACTGCTACAAGTACTGGGCTATACAAATTTTCTATATAAACTGCAACAAGTGCTGAAAATGATTAAAAAATCTAAATAGGTCCTATACACTCGAAAATGAATTGGAAAACTGTATATTATTCTAGCGTTAATAAAATAAATAATAACGACAAGAATTTGGTTCGAAATATTGAGAAATGTAATAAAAAAATATCCAACGCTAGAAATTCGGTAAATTTCATAAATTACTGCCTTAATTCTGGTCTTTTATTTTCATGTTTTTAAGTTAAATAAATTTATTTCAGAATTGCAGATAATTAAAACACATTAAATCATGTTGGCACAACCAAATTCAGCACAGACCGTCCAAGCTGTCCCGCCAACTACCTATCCGCCAGTCAGTTTTTCTAATTTTCCACCTTATCCTACCTTTTCATATCCCCCTCTTAAATATCCAAAAAAGCCATTTCAATTCTTGGATTAATGCAGATTGCGATTGAGATACTTTTTATTGTTTTCGGCGTTGCTGAATTAGTACTGCTGTCTGATTACTATCTCATGTATCATGGAGAAGTTGTAGCACGTATTGGATACAGTATCTGGCTTAGTGTCTTTGTTAGCTTCAAATTTATTCACACATTATTGTACTAAATTTATCATATTATACTAAACTTTTATGTTATTCTAAGATTTTATATTATTCTATATTTTTAGTATTTCGTTCCAGGCCTTCTATGATATTTTTCTAGCAGGAATCCAAAAAATAGACTGGTTATTATTATTTATATTTCAATTCTTTGTATATGTAACTCAGTATATACGGCTTAACCTAGCTAGATTATGGACGGCGAAATGACGAAGTGGCATTGTAATGATCGCTTTCGAATGCAAAATCCTCGTCTATCATATGTTAATGTTATAATATATGACAAAGGTGGGCAATCTACAGCCCGCTGGCCGCATTCTGTCCTGCAAGATATTTTATGCGGCACGCAAAGCCTTGTACGCATTTTGAAATAAAATGAAAAATGACAATAATCGGCGAGTTAACTCAGTCGGTAGAGGTGCCATGTCTCGTGCAGTTACACGATGGCCTGGTTCGAATACTCTCGGTCCGAAACTCAAAAACTATTATACGCCATGCACGTATGTTGCGGTGCTTGCGCGTGCATAAATAACGTGTGTGTACGTCGTTTGGTATGTATAATACTGTCTCTGTGGCACGAAAAACAAAAAATGACATTACGGCAAAAAAAATTATAAAAAGGTAAAAAATTCCGCCCCCAGTCAACGGTCAAAAAATGTTTGTATTTATATATTAAAGATTGTTTATTCTGTGGGTTATTAGGAGTTAAAAAGCTCTGTTGAACCCTGTGGAAATAACGCTATACGAATTAAAAAATATTGATTAGCGAATTGCACGCGGTAATTGTATGTGTGTGTAGGCATGACACTTACGTGTTTATGCATATACGCACACAGAACATTTCATCACATTTTTTATTTCTATTTTCAAATCGTAATTTTTGATCTTATTTATGCCATAAAACTTCTCGCAATTATATATTTTTATCTTTTAAAGTTTAAATGTACAAAAAGGTGTTTTTAAGACGATGTTGAATTTTAAAAGCAGCTACTTATTTATTTAAACATAATACGTACAATATTATACATTTCAAAAAATACAATATTTTTCATTTCCTTCTCATTAATATTTTATAATTGTTTTTCAGTAAATTAATAATTTGTTACTTAAACTATAAATAAATTAATAGATTAATGTATAAATTTGATAGATAATATCGTTCATGGTGATGTGCATTATAGCAGCCGTCGTTACTGCGTCTACTTTATCTTTTGGAATAATCGATGCAGTTGTGCTTTCTTCTCATTATAACTACAGTTATCGTTTCCTTGACAATTATTACGGCGTAAGATGACGTTTTTATTTGAAATTTTTTGCCATTCAGACATTTAATTCAACTTTTTAAATTTTCAGCCAAATCAATCTGTCAAAAAGAATTCTTTAATAGCCATATCTGCAATTTTGGCTATATTATCATGTATTGAAGCTGTCATCGCCATTACATGTTTTGCACTCTGCTGCAGAGCAGTTTGCTGTTGTAAACAGAAAGTTATTATAATTGTCTTTTATATAAAACTAGTGATTAAAAATTTTCAATCATTGAATCAAATTTTTGATGTTATCAAAAATATAAATCGTATATTCGAAAAACTTCCAGGAAACATACATCCAAGTGTACGATCCTGCAACTCAAAGACTTTCTTTCATTCCAATCGGTTAGATTAACTATTTCAGACTATTGTGTAATGATTTTTTTTCATAACAAAATCGTTTTCGTTATTTTACCATAATTTCAAATTTTTAGCAACAACGTCTCATAAACTGTAAAATGAACATTTTCTTATTGACTTGAAATGAAAATTTACACACTAAATATCATATATTTTGTTTGCAGTAAGGCACCAAAATGTAATGATTGCTCCATTCAACTTTGGTGCACCATATGGCGTAGGACTACCATATAACATGGAAAAGCCTTACAGTGTTGGACAAGCAATTAGCATTGGAGCAGCTCATAATTTTGATGCTCCATTAAATGTTGGAGATTCATATAACGTTGGATCACAAGACCCTCCAATGAATATGGCTCCACCATATGAACAAATCGTTGGTGGTTTACAAAACAACAATTTACCCCCTTATGCTGATAAGGTCGATGAAATTGTAGATAATAAAGCTGTTGATGCATTTTGAGCAAAAAATACTTTGCAAACATTTGAAACTATGTTAAAAATAACTCATTATCGATCTAATATTATATCAATTTGAATTTTTCCAACTCTCCATTTGACCAAAGTTTCATAAATTAAAACTTCAAATAAAAAAGTGTTTATCACAGTTATTAATGATAAGGACGCGTAGCTTTTAATTATTATAATAATTTGGTTAAGTAGGCTGACAGGTTTGTAGCGAAATTTAAAAACTTTTAAAAATTGGCGGATTTTCAATGCTACTCCTACCCATGGATCTAATGGATATGGCTTAATAATTATTACCTGCCTAATAATTTTTTAGTTTTATGGAATTAAACGCGCAAACATTTAACATTTTTTTCTAGTAATTAACATTTTATTGGTTTTTTACAATCAAACGTTTTTTGCTATCGTATTTTATCGTTAAACTTTAGACAAATTTTTTTAATTAAATGTCAATAAATTGACAAAAAAAGCAACATTGACAATAACCGCTAAACAACCGGTTAAAAACTGAAGTTTACTTTAACTTAAATTCACTTTTTAACAAATATAGCGATTCTATGTAAAATATTTAATATTTGTTAGATTGACTTTGATGTTATATATATATATATATATATTTATATTTATATTTATATATGAACAATGTATATATATATGGACAATGTATATATATATATATATATGTTGGTAATAGACCATAATTTTTACAATATTCTATAAATTCTACCGAATGTGTGA